TTTAAAAATCCTTCTCTGCAGCAGTGCCTCCTTTCACTCTAAGTCGTTCCTTTCTCATTTTATCTCTTCTTTTTCACCTGACAGGTGCATGTCTTTTTTTAAGCGGCACATGGCTTGTATTCTGCTGACAAACATGGACCCGCCCACCACGGAAAATCAGAATGGCCTCCCGCCAAATCTAGACTTGGCCACTGGACCGAAGCAAGACAGTAAGGCCACCTGTCTGAGCGTCTACCAGTACTGCGAGAAGGAGGGAGGAGAGGGCGGGGCAAGTTATTCAGAAAGTGTCCTCACGTTTCCACCTGGAGAGTACGTAGCAGAGGAACTCTGCATCTCTGCAGCGAAAGCGTGTGGTGAGTCACAACTGTGTTTCAGTTCACGTGTTTGCCCACACATGCAGTGTATAGTTTCATTTACACATCTGACATTTTTTGGTTGAGCCATTTTCTAACCTCAGCTTAACAAAAAAAATTTGTATAAAGAAAACAACAGCTGTTAACTGTACATTACAAATAATGCATACATTCACGCTGGAATCCTCTTAAAAGGTGACTGGTTTCTTTATAACACATTTCTTTCTGTAAGAAGCCACTTGAACTCTAAATAGGTCACAGTACAGTTAAGGATTTTTTTAATTAAGCGTTTATATCAATGAAATCTAAAGGTTCTTCTGTATCCACATATTCTGGCAGTGAAAGACCCACTCTTAACCAACAAGACATTTTTGGATTACAAATTTCACTTAGAAATGTCCCATAAAAACAGCACTGCTTTCACATTCATGGTTTGCAGCAGTTCCCCTAATGCACAACTCTTTCAATGAAAATAAAAGGCTCCTTTTCGTTCAGCTAAACTTGGTGAAGCATTAAATCAGCAGGCACAGCTTTTAGTTTTACATTGTGCAACATTCCTGCTATTTAAACACATTTGGAGAAGATAGCAAAATATATCGTTTCACTGAATTCATTATACCTGAATAATGGATGTTATTTACATTATTTCAGGATGAATAGGCTGATGCATTGGACAGCACCTGAGTTGATGTTGGATATTCGTATTAGCAACCACTGTTTTGTTTTTCTTATCCATTTTAGGGTGTTTTAAGGCAGTTGAATAAGTTAGCTGTGTTGGCGTTTTTGGGGAAAACAAACTTGATGCACTCTTTGAATATGATTTGTTCTTGGTTAAAATTGCTCTAAATTGGAATTACTTCTGCTTTGAGATGAATACTCTTTGCCCTGCCAGAACAATGTGAGCCCGTAATCTGGTTTGTTAACCTTTTTTGGACTGTTGTTTCAGTGCATTTGTTTTAGACATTAAATACCATACCTTTTTCTTAATCTTTCATTTATTCTTTGTAAATGCAAGAAAACCCCCCCAAGAAACACCAACACAAAAACTGCCAGACAAAAAAAAACAAGACTGCATTTTGAACAGAATTTCCTAGGGAGGGGAACTTCATGCAGTAACTTTAACTCCATTCTGACAAGAAATTATTTGACCCTAAATTAAAGATGTCTACATTCCCAAACTACTCACAGATGATTGTGCATAATTATGGTAGACTAGTGATAATGGTTACTTGAACTGTCACAAAAAACAGCTTTTTTAAAATAAAACCTAGGCCCTAATTATGCAGGCCTCAAGACTGGTGAGTGACCTCCTGGCAGCCATCGGTCACTAAGAAAAAAAAATACACTCCCCAACGTTAACGACACATGAATAAAAATGTGAATTTCAGCTGTTTGGCAGATGTTGCAGATCACTAAGACACTGGGTTACTAAGGGCTAACTGACCAGTTTAATCCTCGTAAAGGTCGTAAAGGAGCATTCAAGCTCTGCAAAGTTTAGATGCACATTTTCTTAAACTGTCTTTTAAAGTAAGACCAGAATTAGATTGCTTAGGCCAGTTTTTAGTCGTGAAAACAGAACTAAGATAGTCAGGCCACTTTGTCATCGCCTCTTTCTAGAAAACTCAGATCAGGAAGTTGTCTCGCTGTGTGTCTGTTTTCCCCTATGTGCACCCTTCCTTCTGGAACGGTTGAATTAAGTCTTTTTACCATGAGCTGTTTTTATATTTCCCCATTTTTCAAAGTCTTTGTTTCATTTTTCATTTCTACCTCTTTGTCAATTCTTAAACTTATACTTTACCTTCTGACTGTCTCTTAGACTGTTTCTTTTGTTGGTTAATTGCAGTTGAATTTAGCTGAATAAGTTGAGTAGTTTGTTACTAGGATATTATTTATTAGAGAATCATTAATATTCATTTAAATGGCTAGGGCAGGACAACTTGCTACCAGACTGAAGTTAATTATGGCCTCCTTCTTTGCAGTCATCCCTAGTACAATTTCTTCCTTTTAGTCCTCATGTAGAAATAAGTTAAAAAGTAAGACACAAGGATGTTCTGCTTGATTGTTCAGTTTCTAAAAAAAAGCATACAAAGTTATTAAATCTAACATGCGGTACAAATCTCTTAAAATGTAGAACTACAGTATTTTAGTCTTCAGTGTATCTTGAACTTTTTATACTGTTTTGATTGTAATACATATCACACGGTAGGAGTTGTCTGTACATTAACCTTGTTAGCACTTTGACTTTACTTCCCTTGTTGTGGTTGAGCCCATTTCCTCCTCGGCAGCGCTTCTGTCCTCACTCTGTTGCTTCACATGTGTGAGGGCTTCCGCATGCGTGATGACATTTTATGCCCTTTAAGTTCAGTTCGAACACTGATAAAACACCAGTTGTTTTCTTCATGGCACTTTTTATGCCTCAGCATTGTAGACCACCGTGGCCTGACCCAGTCCAATAAAGTTCATCACCCATGCCAAGGAGCTCAGTCAGGAACCCGCTATCTCAGGAGCATTCAAGGGAAACTTTTTCAGATTTAGCAAAAACATTCATTTAAACTTAACTGGTTTTCCTAGTTCAAGTTTAATGGTCTAGGCCACTGTCCTGGTGTCCGCTGTGTTCTTGTAAACATGGCAGAGTACATCATCACCACGAAAAGCTGGAGAGGATTTCTTTACATGGGGCCCAGACATGAACAGGATTCAAGGATGAACTACAGGGAGTGCAGAATTATTAGGCAAATGAGTATTTTGTCCACATCATCCTCTTCATGCATGTTG